TGTTATTTCCATAGGGCATCTTGATTCCTTCACTTTTCACTATTTTTCCCCTGTTGATGGTCAGGGTGGCACATTAGTCCGGTCCAAACTTCATTGCAATATATTGGCTGTATATTTGGACAGTGTTGAGCAGCAATTCTATTTCAGATGTTGTTTTTCCATACAGCTTCAGATTGTCCATGTAAAGGAGGTGGGATAGCTTGGCAGATGTTTTTGATGTTTGACAGCCATGGCCTGACTTGTTATAACCATATTATTATTGTTGTTATTGTTATTATACTAATATGCTGCCCTACTCCAAGTGGAGCAGACCCCACTAATTGTGCTTTATTCAACAGAATGCATGCTTCCCCATGCTGGCTGGGGAATTCTGGAAGTTGAAGTCCACAACAGCATAAAGTAGCCAAGGTTGAGAAACACTGGTTTAGTTGCTGAAAAAGCTAGTTTTTGCATATAAAAAAAAGAAGTGGCTTTGGCTAAAAGGAAAACATGCTTTCCTGAACTTCAAAAGGAGGCATGGATGCCATGCTAAAATGCTAATATCACCTTTTTTTAAAAAAGCTAATAATGCAGCTTAAAATTCCAGGTAACAATCCTCCCATTTGGTTCTCACTATTAATATTTGGTGAGCAAGGGAGCAGTTCATATTTGAAACTTCATAGGGTCCATAGTTGCCGCGCGTTGTGGAGCAGATTTTAAAGAGTCTTGGCAGGCAAACATTGCATAAGACAACTTCCAAGTACAGCAAGGAGCACTGAGGCTATGACAGCAATAATGCCAAGTCATAAATGTTTCACCCAGTCCCAGTCTGACAGCCAAGAAGTGAGCCGATCCCACACAAATTGGTTGTCCTGCTGCTGTTCTTGAAAATGTTCCCTGTCCTCAGTTAGGGAGGCAACTATTTTAGCTAACTTTTGTTGATGTGTAATCAAGCCTTCCTTTCTGTCGTGAAGCGCGCAGCAGGTTTCCTCTTCGGCCTGAGCTCAAAGCACCCAGTGCATAAAGAATTCCCAATGAGAAAAGTCATTTATTCCCTGCCCCATCTTGGAAAAGCTTGTCCCCCATTTTGTCACCTCCCCAGAGAGGCATTTTCTGTTTGTTCCATGAAATTGATGGCTTTGAGGGATACATCTCTGCCTCTGTTTTGCTGGCTGGTAGGAGGCGAAAGCGGACGCTTGCGCCAGGCTTCTGTCTGTGCATCACAATTATTAATATCCCCAGAGGTCACACTCCCAGGATCTCCAGCTTCTCCTGCTGCCAGAATTACAGCTGTCCATTTGCCAAGCATGCAACATCTTTAAATAATCAGGACCTCTCTCTTGGGGGACAAATAGTAGAACGGCAGCCATTGACCAGAGTGTTGGATTCTCTTCTCTTCTCTTCTCTTCTTTTCTCTTCCCCTTCCCCCTTCCTTTTCTTTGCTTTTTTTTTTTAAGGAGCAGACAGGCCAAACCGCATTAACTTTGGATGTTTCAGGCATTATGCATTATTTTCTCTTTTCCTTAATGGATTTTCCCCCTTGGGGAAGGGAGGAAGGGAGGGAGGGAGGAAGGAAAGAAGGAAAGAGGAAACAAGTGGGTGATGCTGATACCTGGCCCTTCCTAAAATACTAGGAATTAAGTTGGTGGGGAGGTGCTGCCAGATGCCCAATCTCCCCTCTTACATGCTCTTTGTTTTCCTCCCATTTCCCTTCTTCACTTCCTCCCTCCCTCCCTCCTTCCCTTCTCTCATCTTTCCCTCTGTTTCCTATTCTCTCCTTGCTTCCTTCCTTGTTCAGAGTCATTGCAGAAAATAGTAATTTAACAGGTGGCTCCAAAGTGGAGGCATTCACAATATGAGAAAATTAACCCCTTTTAACAGGGCCCTCCCAAACTCATGTGGGTGGAAACAAATACTTTTTGAGGTGTGTCTGCATAATGACATGATATATAAAGTTTAGGCTCCTCTCTCTCCCTCTCTCTCTCTCTCTCTCAATAAAATGGGAGGATTATTTTGGATTTCTTGAGAGTACAGGAAAGGGGCAGGCAAATTTTTGCTTTTTAATCTTCATTTTGGGGGAATAAAGATTATCAAAAATGTATGGTTGTCTTCATTTTAGCTAAATATAGTATGGTAATTAAAAGATAGATTTTTATGAACACATAATTAGGTGGATGGTCTGTGGGCTACATCTGTAATGAATCATTTTATTCCATTTCTAAGTTCCTCTTTATTGTCCTGGCTCTTAACAACAGCCCTGCATGTAGATATTTAGCAGGTGATTCACATAACCTCCCCTCCACCTTTGAAAAGGCTTAAGTCATCCAGTGGACAAAAGCAAGTAGTAGGGATGAAACTGACAAAAGGTGTCTGGTTTTAGGCTTCGGGGATCGGTTTCAGCTCCAATGATTTCACCTCCTCCCTCTATTATGGAGAAAACCTGAGAGACCAGACTCTTCAAGTTGTACCTTCCTGCCATTTAATCATTTTTCATTGTGACCCAGCTAATGAGAAGGCAGAGTTGATATACAGGTCACGTCTGGTTCAAGAGGGTGAGGAATTCTTATTCTTATTCTCATCATCATCATTATTATTAAAACCATCTGGCTTTAGAGGATGTGAAATAAGGATGACCCTTAATAAACAAGTGTCGGGCTTGGTGTTCCAGAAATGCTGTCAGCAGTTGGAGGATATTTGAAAATTCTTCCCTTTTAATGAAAAAGAAACAAAACATGAGACTAATTAAGGATGAATAGGGGGTGAGGGATTCTCTGTCTCTTTCCCTGTCTCTCTCTCTCTCTTGCTCAATTAAAATAAATGGTTTCTCATTTCCTTCATTATAAACAACCCTGTGCTTTTTTTTTTCCTCCCAGGGGAAAGAGGACCCACGCCCTGCTCTCAAGATGGATGCTGCTCTGCCCGCCATAGCAGAAGAATTGCTGCAAGAGATACAGAAGGCTTTCCGCGAGACCTCCCAGGGTAGGTGGTGATCTATCCACTCCCCAGTGTCTCCTTGAAAGCTGGATGTGAAATAGCCACAAGGGAACCTTTAAAATCCCTGATGGTGACCAGCAGAGAGTGCCAAAGCATCAGGGAACAGTGGGATCATTCTGTGCAAGGAGGTCAGGGTGGCTGGCGCAAATGGTTTTTCTCTCTTGGCGGCTGATTTCAGCGGACAGGGAAGAAGTATTATGCCCCGTATGCTGGATTAGGAAACTATTTCAATAAACCACAGAGAATAAATTCTCTGCTCCAAATGCCTGTTCTTCATCCTCCATGGTTCCTGTTGAACCAGCGGGTGTATTAGTAAAACGGATGGGCTGAAATCAAACTACCATTCTTGATGAGCGAAAGAAATGTCCCCTTCAAGTTGAGCTTGACACGTCTCTGCCGGGTTGTTCAGCAACTCTATGGAAGGGGTTTGCCACCTTCTTTGGGGGGTTTTTGGACTTGCCAGTTGAGTCTACAGCTTTGGCACCTCCTCGTGGTTTCACCTCCAAATGCTCACCAAGTCTGATTTGGTTTGGCTTTTTGGAATCTGCCAAGGTGGTACTGACCTTCTGAGCAGCACCTTGCTTGGACAAATCAAGTGCACTTTCTGAATCTTGACATTTATAGGAATATATGAAAGGCAGAACATCTTCTTAAATCAGCTGGCAAATAAAAGCCACTTCTCTAGCCTGCCTCTGCTGCAAACAGCATATGGAGGTTCCGAATAATTATACAGCAGAACTAGAGCCATATCGCAGCTAAGAAAACCTGCTGTGCTAGAGAAAGCTGCCAGTTCAAATCCCACCTCTATCTCAAGGGCGAGCAGGTGGCCTCTTTCATCCCCTTGTTTGCCTGCTATTTGTGGGCCAGGAGGAGCAGGTTAGGGGTAGGAATGGGAATGAATGGCTTCTTAGAGGCATCCCACTCTTATTTCCACCCTTAAATCCCTCAAGCACTCCCCCATTCTGCATCTACGCAGCAGAAATCTGTCCATTTTGGCAGCCACATTTTGCAGGCTTGGGGGAGGTGTGCCTCCCACTCCCATTTTTGAGGCAAAGAATGGGGGAATCAGATGATGTGGCTGAATTTCCGTAATCTCAGGGCACTGGGGGAGGTTGCCCTCTTCTGCTTTAGGGAGTTGGGTTTTTTTAATCAGAACCCCACGTCTGCCACCGGGTAGCCTGTTTGAGTGCCAAGTGATATGAATGGCTGCGGAATCCCCCAAGGATTCTCAAATAGCTTTCAGGAACAGAGTGTTGCTCATTCCTTTCATGAGAAAACTAATTTCCTCCCACTGAAGCTCTCTTCATTTTACCAGTGTGATTTCAAAGTTGCTTGCCAACTTATTCAAACTATTCTATCTACTCAGGACCCTGGTCAGAAATTAACATTGCTTTCTTCCTTTTTTTGCAGTTTCAGATGACCTACTTCTGGCGTGAGTACTTTGCTGCCTTTTTGTTTTTCAATTCACCCTCTTTTTGTTTTGAAATGAGGACCAGCATCTAAACACAAAGCCCTCCTAGAGCTTTTCAGAGAGCCCAATAAGGCCATGTTTGTCTTCTAAATGGAAACGGCAGATGTGCTTCGGTCTCGCACCCATCACAGGTTTTGACTGTTGGAGGCGAAAAATGCCCTTCTGTCAGAAATGGTCCCACCACTCATCTGCCTGAGTGGCCCCTTGGGACAGGACAGATCTGAAGCCTCACAGTTCCTCTGGGATCTGGTGATGCTGCATCGCTGTCACAGGAAGGAAGTGTAATGAATAAACTAATAAAAGAGAGAACGATCTATTCACATTTGAGAGAGGGTGGGAATTTAAGGGCCAGAGCTACGTGACGGGGTGCTCCTTCCTGCCCCCTCCAGTTGCATGTGATGCCGAAAGGAGAAGGTTCTCAGTGGAAACTGATCTGAAGGAAGCCATGCCAGAGCAGTAACTCTTGGCAAGATGGGATAGATCATCTCCGCAGGGCTGATAATTTTGGAGTTTTATTGGACAGATTGAATTTCTTACAGCCTGCTGCTTTTCTCCTGGTACCCTGATGAAGAACAGGGACCCAGAGAAGTAGCTGTGGTTATCATCCCATTGCACAGAAAGGGGGTGATGGTTGGCTGAGAGAACAACCTTTTTGGCTAGGGCAACCCAAGTGATTTATGATCAGCCCTGGAGATGTTACAGTCTCCCTTGGCCAGAACACCTGCAGCCCTGATGTTCTCCCTTTTCCTCTGTCCTCCTCCTGTTGCGACCCCCCCACCACTCTGCAAACAGCCACCAAAAAGAGGCATAAGCAGGCCCCGACAGACTTGAGCCATAGCTAAGAGAGGTGTTTCCAGCCAGAGGAAGGCCCCAGCACAGGGAAGGGTCCAAATTCAGTCTCTGACTTTTTTATTCTGGGAAATAAATTCTGCTGCTCTTCAGTTATGGGTTCTGCACAAGAACTGCAACCAGGGTTCGAAAGCGAAGGTGGTGCTGCAACGGGGTGCTTTTAATAGGCAAGTCATGCTCCGAACCTTTCGTTGGCTTAGAAGTGAGCCCCAGCTGCGTTCAGCGGTGTTTGCTTCAGGGACGGTGGCCTTCAGTTATTGCATGTGGCTTTTGCAACGGCTGCAACAGCTTTCAGCCCTTCAAATGTTGTTTTTCAAGAGTTAGGTGCAAAGACCTGTGAAGCAGAAACGTGTTTGTGGTTGGCACATTAGTTGCACGTGGGTTTTAAAGTTCCCATCAAGGAATATTGTTTTCCTTGGTGGTCTGTCTGCCCATTTCCTTCCTTGTAGCTCTCTTGCATAACTCTTAATTACACGAGCAGGGGTGTCTGCAGAGTGTGGGGCCAAAAAAGTCAAGATGGCCACCACAACAGTGTGATGGCTGCACCACCCACTGAGTTTCGATTGCACCTTCATGGCTGCCATTTGGACGTTTTTGACCCTACCCTGCAGATACCCTGGTCCGTGAAATTGTTCGCCGAGAATTTGCTGCCATTCCAAGCCACTGAGGGCAAGAAAAGTCTCAGAGATCATCTTTTGAGTATAACATTATGCAGGTACATAAAGCGCTCGAGTGGCTGTCTGCTGGTGGTTGTTTGGCCTTCCCTAAATAAAAATAAAGTTTCTAGTCCTCACGTGACCAATCCCTTCAGAATATTTGACATTTAAAAAAAAAATACGGAGTGTTTTTATTTTCAACTGCTTTGAAAGTCTTTGTCAATTTAAAAAAATGGTCTATAAGGTTTGTTTTAATTGCAAATAAGGTTTGTTTTAATTTTTTTAAATGGCCGTGCTACCCTTTGCAACTGGTGAGAAATGCTCCAGTAAAATTCGGTGCCTGGTTTTCTGCTATTCAGGACAAAACCTTGAGGTGGAAGGGTTGGGGGAGGAGAGATTGGGGGTTCCCTGGGAATGGGCACCACCCAAGCAGAGAGAGACTTGCATAAAGGGCCTACGTGTTTTCCACTTCCCAAACAGGAAGCCAGGTGACTGCTGAAAGATAGCTCCCATCGCATAGCTGGCATACGGTTCTTCCTTCTTCCATTCCCCCCATCCCCCCGTTCTGTTTCCCTCCCAGCCTCTCTTCCAACTTCCTGGTGATGCAGAGACAAAAGACCTTTCAGGGGCGCAACTGGAAAAAGAGAGGATGAAACGGCAGGTCCTGGCTTGTAAATGCCCTTGTTCAGGAGGGCCAGGGATCCTGGAGCTTTCCGAAATCATCCGTTGCTCACCAGCTTCTCATCCCTGTGCTCCACGGAGAGGATTATCTGCTCACCTTCCTCTGCTTTCGAGGTCAGGTCCATCTGCTAGGCCTTGAGCAAGTCTGATGTCCAGATTAGGATCAGCTGTTCTCTACTGTGCATCAAATCCTTTGAGTTTTATCCTGGAGGCTGGGATGGAATTAGATCTCCCCTTCCCGGAATAGAAAATCTGATGCTGGTTTTAAACTGGCCCCGTTTCCCGTTGGCCACCTCCTTCCCGTTTCAACTGCCACGTGACCCGTTTGACGTGGCTCACCAGTGACCTTTTGCACGCCTCCATATCTCCTGCCCGATCCCAAGCCGATGCAAGGTATGAGCCCAAACGAATGGCTTCCTGATCTGTTAGGCTAGTTGACTGGGTCCTCTCGCTAATTGGGACCAACAGCATAAATAGTGTCACTAGCAAGTTAGGGGTTCTGCAATAGATGGTTTTTTCAACTTTGGAAAAATGCAGCACTTCTCAAGCAGGCAATTCTGCTGAAGTCCCTCGCCTGCCAAACATCTACTCTAGCCTTGCTTGAGTAGGAAAACAGATGCCCCCAAGGAGAAGCAAACCAAAATCCATATTGCCCTCATTGGTTTCCTGGCCAAAGTGGTCACTCATTGCAAGTGACCCGGAAAATGGCTGCGTTCAAGCCTGCTTTCCTTCCCGTTCCTTCCTCTGTACTATGCTCAGTTATTTAGGGTCCATTCCAGCTTGTTTGCTGCACCATATTCCAGGGTTCCTGATAAAGGAAACACAGGGAGGTAATCCCACTCTTCCAATCTGACGTACCTCCAATCTGACGTACCCATGGGAGTGGGTAAAGGATAAAAGGAGACTCCTACATCAGACCCCTTGAACTTCCAGAAGAGGCTGGAAACAACAGCCATCAAGTGAATTAAATAAATTACTTTATTAATTTAAGTAAATTACTTCATTAATAAATTACTTTATTAATACAATTACTGTGATTTCTTTTGCTCTGTCTTTCTGCCTATACAGCAGTGTTTCTCAACCTTGGCCACTTTAAGATGCGTGGGCTTCAACTCCCAGAATTCCCCTTGCTGGCTGGGGAATTCTGGGAGTTGAACCCCACGCATCTTAAAGTGGCCAAGGTTGAGAAACACTGCTATAGAGCTTACAATTTCCCTCTTGTGCAACCCTAACATTGTTCTAAGAAGGAGTGATTATGATCCTCTTGGCTTCATTCCTTGCTCAAGGCAGATAAAAACCTTCAGGCTCCCATCTGGCCCTGAAACCTTTTATTCTGTCTACTCTCTTTTTTTTTTTTAAATGCTGAGCGCCCATTGTGAAGAAGAGCTGCCCCAAGTTTTAAAGGCATCTTCAGAACAAGAGGAGTGGGATCAGCAGAGGGGGGACTTCAGGCTTTTCATATCCCCTTTGATTTCTCTCCCTTCTCCCTAGGCTCAGGTTTGTCTTTGGAACTTCAGTCGTCCCTGCCCTGGACTTGGTGGACCGCCAGTCAGTCACACGGTTCGTGTCCCCAAGCGGGAGGACAGTCTATCAGGTGCGGTTCCTTCTCCTACCCCCCCTCTGCCCTGCCAGCCCACATACACATGCCCTTGCCTTGAGCATAACATCAGGAGGAGCCTGGTAGCAGCTCATGCCTTTGAATAACCTCTGTTCCTCAGAAAGGCCGTTGCTCCGCTCCTTCTGATTTTAGACTCCCGTAGATTAACACGGCTCACCTCCTACACTTTCTTTGAGCCTCTTTAGGAGGCTGTTGAGCGTAGTAGGTGAGCTTTAATTTTCTGCCCATGCTGGCTGATGTTTATTGAGCGCTATTTCCATTGTAGCTCCCTGTGCAGAAGGTTCCTCCATTGGCCGATTAGCCAGCTTAGAATATGCTAAAATAATGTTATTTATAAATTGTCCCCTTGGTGCAGTGTTTCTCAACCTTGGCCACCTTAAGATGGGTGGACTTCAACCATGCTGGCTGGGGAATTCTGGGAGTTGAAGTCCACCCATCTTAAGGTGGCCAAGGTTGAGAAACACTGCCTTGGTGGTAGCCTTTCTCTGACATATTGCAGAGCAACCTTCCCCACTCATGTCTTCCAGATGCGAGGGCCTGGGTCATGATCCTAGAGTTAAAAGGGAGGCCATCTGGTCCAGGGTCTCACAGAGCAAATACGCCTGCTATTCTGAAGTCATGTGTGACGCCCAGCCAGATCCTCTCTGCCTGTTCTCCCCTCCTGGTGACCCAGCCAGCGCCCTGTCAGTTCACGGGATCTGTTCATTGAAGAGAACTGACTGGTTGCGCATTTAACTCCCTCAGGACCACAAACATTGTGTTGTCGTCCAGTGGGGTGGGAAGGAGCAAGGTGGCTAAAACCTCAGGGGAAGAAGAGGGAAGGGCAGAACAGAAGGACAAGGATTTTTTCAGCAAAGAAGAAATGGACTCTCCATCAGTGACCAGACCGAGAGGAACAGCTCTGTATGGTAGACTCACATAGAATGGGAAGGGAACTTAGAGGTCATCCAATCCACCTGCTGTCAGCTCTCTTGCATTGATTATAAAGACTTCACCCACTGTGATAAGATCCGGGATTGAGACTGTAATGAGAACTGCCAGAAGGCAGAGGTAAGACAGCCCCCCTCGCCCCCAGTTAATATCTCGGGAGTTTCCTTATGGTGGTCTATGACCGTAATAAAGATTTGATTTGATTCAGGACTTTGCCCAACAGATGAGTGGCATTTGAAGGTGACAGCTGTCTCCAACCCCTTTTAACCAATATGATCATGTTTCACGAAGCCCCTTTGTAATTCTTATGAAGCACTGGCAGACTTCCCAGTGGAAAGGGGCAGAAGATGGGCGTGTACGCCCGTTGCAGCTGACTTACAAGCAGGACCCCCAAGGATGCCAAGGGGTCCTTTCAAACCCACGACCAGGTGGCTGCCTTTTCAAGACCACCTTCTCCCTGGACGCCCCATCCTGGACGCAGGCCTCTCCCTCCACCTGAGGCTTCTCCATCAGCTACATGCAACAGCCATGTGTCAAACTAAGGAATGTGGGCTGACTGAATGGAAAGATCAGGCGGTGGAAGCTTTGAGGCTGGAAGAGGAAGATCTACTTCTTGAATTTTTGCAGAAGGAGACTGGCCAACAGGAAGGAAGTTTTGGTTAGATACGAGGAGGAAATTTCCTGACAGTAAGAACTAACCAGAAATCGCCCAGCCCTGGGAAAGGAAATGCTGAAATTCTCTTAAGATTCTAGTCCTCAAGAGTCTTAAGGGTGGAGAGAGAGTTGGCCTCTCATTTTAGAATTCATTCCCGCCTCTGTGGGAAGACCTCCAACGAAGGGAAATAGACTACTTCATGAAGCTTTCTATAGAAAGGAGCTAGTGGTGTTTCTCAGCCTTGGCAGGCTTAAGAGAGCGGGGGGCCTATCCCACTCCAAAGTTCGTCGATGGGGGCATGGGTGCGGGGTGTCCACCCCCTCTATGTTTGTCGTG